TGTTCTTGTCTCAATTTTCACATCAATATCTGTTGGTGGTTTTTCCCTTTCCTCATCCAAAAAGCTATGCACATGTCTCTCATTTCTGTTTTCTTCTGCAGTTGCATATACTTCTTTTGTGACTTCCTTTGTATCCTTTCCAGAACTGTCTTTCCTGTGGGAATACTCTAAAATACCCCCTTCATCAAGTCCGCTTGTTCTCTTTCCATTTAAATCAATCCTCATCCCAATTTCTTCAACCGCATCATCACCTAATCCTCCTCCTTCCTTCTGTACAAAACTATTTTCATTAAACCAACCACTCTCTCCTTGATTCTCATCAGCATCAAATTCCTCTCCATCATCAAATATAGTCCCGTACTTCAAGAATGCTTGACCAGTTGCTGGACATGGAAGCAGCATACTCATAAGCTTCTCAGTGCAAGCATAGCTTGCCAAGAAGACCCCATAAGGGACAGAACAAACAAACCCAATTGCCGAGATAACCACAACTGGAGGAAGAATCAGGGAGGCAGAAGATATTACAAGACCCGTGATCACCATCTTCTTCCCCAACACCAGTCCCTTGTTTAAGATCCAACCCAACTTGCCACCATCTCTTTCAGGTGAGGATTCTTGAATCTCCCATTCCGCAGCAGGATCCTCCATCCTTCAACAAAGTAACAAACAGTAAAAATTCACCTATCATGGTATAACCAAAATTCTAAGCCAAATTCACTAACAAAGAACCCATCTTTCCCTTTTATTTGTTTCAGATAAAGTAACACTGCAGATATTATCTCACATATAATCATCAGGACATCATCCACCTTCTTATCCAATATCAAGCAAAATCATTGAAAGAGAAAGGGCCTAATTTTAGAAGCAGGAACAACAATAAGAAAGCCCTACTCTAAGGAATTGATAGAAACAGAACAAAAATTAGGGTTTTTTTATTCCAGAGATAGAAACAAAATCTCGGGCAGATTTCAAATCCTGATCTTACCATCAACACGCCGATGCCCAAGAAAAGGGAAAACGAAAAGCAGAGTAGAAACTTTACCTGATTACACTTGAGAAGACGACTACTTGTGTTTGCTTAGTCTCATGATGAATTACGGAGTTAGCGTTAGCTCAGAGCTGGTTCGGGGATGAGTCTAGTGTTTCTGAGGAAGTGTAAAAGCGTAATGCGGGTGACATACGAGAGCCGACAAATATGTGAAGGTGGAGTTTGTAGCTTTGGGAAGAGCAGACGGAAAGTTGCGGATAGGGTAGGAAGGAGAAATCATTGCTGCCGCCGTGCTCTGCATGGCATGCAGGTGGATGGTTGCTGGCTTCTGCATTTCAACGTGGCTGCAGAAGATATACACCACCTGTCACTCTCGTTAATTTTTTTAAAAAAGAAACGAAACCGGTTTCAATTTTTTTTCTTTCATGAAAATGTGTTTTTTAATCTATTTTATAAATTTGTACAGTTTAAATTATAAATATAAAAATAAAAAAAATTCACTAGTTAGACGATAGATTAAAAATACAGTGTAATTAAGATAAAAAAAATGTAGTGTTATGATTTTATTTATAAATTTATTAAAATATTTTTAATAAAATTAACTTTTATATTATTTTATTAATGATAGTGACAGTGTTGTGCGTAATCTTTTCTTAAACAATTTTAAAAGTTATCTTCGATCTTCATACCTACACAGCATATATCTCCTAAACGTAAGTTGAGACTACGATCACTGGCCTTTTTGATAAGGCCACCAATATTTTTTTTAAGTTATTAATTTTATTTGTAATTAGTTTATAATTTTTTTAGAATAATTAATTATGATATTTAAAATTATTTATTTATAAATTAATTTTATTTTGTTAAATAATATAAATATTATTATAATTATTTATTAATTATTAATTATTTTTAACAATTAAATTCAATTTAAATTTTAATAACTTTAAAAACCCTAACGAAAAATAATACAAAACTTGAATTCGAAAACATTTCCAAGTCCACGGTATAATACTTCCTTAATAATCAATTTAATTCTTGAAATTGGGGCTTATGTATACAATATATAAATGTTAATTTAAAAAACTTAATTAAAATAATAATTTTTTAATATATTTAATAATAAATTATAAAATAAATAAAAATCTCGTTTTCTCTTAAATTTGTCATTATAAAACTCAAAATTTTAAAATCTTTAATTTTAAATTTTCAAATTTTTATAAGTCACCAACTAGAGCAAACAGTTTGTAGCTTGAGTCTTGACTATTGCGCCTAACGGCTTCATTTAAAGGGCGAAATAGGATTCCAACAAAGCCAATCCTGCATGCACCTACCTACCTTACGTTAGATCCGACCTAAAGCTTCAAAAATTAAGCTTTGTCTTTTGCTCAACCACATCTTGCTGACACTACTACCACCTAAACATTCACACGTTATTTTGCATAGAGTCATTCCAACAAACCAAATGTGCTTAGATAGTGCATTTTCCATGGCCTCCACTTTAGGCGATAAGACAAATTCGACAATTTCAACTTCTTTATAGTCAGGATATTTTTCGAAAATTGGATGAAGCTTTCAGTCCAGGGCACGCTCCCTCTGAGAATAGGTAATTAGAAATCTTAAGGAACGCTAGATATTTATACAACGAAAACATACTTAAGATAATTGAGGAATTCTAGAAGACTTAATTAGGACAAGATACATTCCCAACTTATTAAGACTTCCTTAGAAATGTAAAATACATTCGAACAATAATTTGTAAAACTTTAAAAACAACAATAATGATATACTTGTAATATTATATGATTTATTGAAATGATGTGTTATTATATGATTAATTTTGTTTTATTCAAAGCTTACACATTTATTAGTGTTCATTAATTTATTTAATATTATACTACCATTGTAAACTTATAATCTTGTTTCTAAGAGAACATTTAAGTGGTTAAGAGTTTGAGTTTTTATGTAGAAAATTTCAAATTTAAATTCTAGAATAGGTGATGAGAGGTTTGAGAATGAGAGAGTTATCTCTTATTATATAATTCATTATTTAATATACAACTTATAAATATATTATTTCACTAAAGGCAATGCATCAAAATAAGACCTTAATAACCCTAGAGGTTAAATCTATAAATAAAAAGTGTTGTTGTATAGAATAGGTTTAAGATTCAAGTTTTAAGTCAATATTTAAAGAAATTGATTTTATTGAATGTATTATGCTAATATGTGGTATACATCTTAAGAATTAATATCACTTAGGGATGGATTTAATTATGAGGTGCATAAAAACAAATATAAGAACACCTTAATTGTTTAAATCATTAATTGTATGTTAAGATTGAGGAGAATGAAGAAGAGTAGAGAGGAATTATATCGTTTCATTCTTCTCCTCTCATTTAGAAAAATTAATTAATTAAAAGAAAAAATAAAAGAAATTCCTCCACTCCTTTTGCATTCAATTCTTTTGATAATTAAATAATGAAAATTTTTTCCTCCTCTTCCCTCAACCAAAATATACTGTAAAATTAAAAATTTAATAAAACTCATTTCTAAAACTATTTTAGATTATGATACATATCAAGTAAATGTAGCTTTCAAGTTCAAGAGTCCAACTATCCTCCGCAGTTCACAAAGAGACCGATGGCTGATGGGACCTAAAATCCCCCGCAGACAAGCACCTAGAATGTGTTTGAGTAAAAGTTAGTAAAGGAAAAGGGAGGAAAAAGAGGAGAAGGATAGAGAGGGAAAGGAAAAGGGAGGAAAGAATTAATGGTAAATAAAAGAAAGAGAGGACAGAAAAAGATTATATTTTTTTATTTAATTAAAAAAATAAAAAAATGTTATTATAAAATTAATTAAAATGTTATAATTTTATTTATTAAAATAGGAGTTAAAATAAAAATTTTAATTATATTTAAAAAAAATAAAGAAAGATAAAAGTATATCTAATCTCTCTCAATTCCCTCCAAACATAGGAATTAAAAAACAAAGGATTAAAAGAGGTTTCATCCCCTCTACCTCCCTTCTTTTTCTTTAATCTTTATTAATAATTTTATCTGAACACTCTGAAGGAGAGAATACTTCACTCTTGATAAAATTTATTATATTCCTAATGTGATATCTTCGACTAATCATAGCATGTCACATCATAAAAAATTCTCCATGACTTCACCTTATTAGCCATGCTAACTCACTTAACAATAAAAATAATGATATGACCGGTTAAGATTGATCGAGAATACCACATCAACAATATCCTGAGATCGAACAGAATTTTTTCTCACTCTCAGCTCCTTCCCCTCTTACACCTTCAGACCAAAGAAAGGCAATAGCACCGGCACAGCTACTGCGGAGTAGGTTCACCACTATTGTTTTGAAAAAACAACAATTAGTCCTCAATCTTTCTGATATAAGACACTTTCATTCTCAATCTTATTTTGTTAAACTTATTTTAATTGTCTTGTTCAGTTCGATTTCTCTTCGATTCCAAAGATCATTTCACCCCTGATTCCTAGCTCTGCAACTGCGAGCAGTCCGTGCTCTCGGCAATGGCAGCCTCCAAGTCAAAGTTATTACTCTCTCATTTCCGTTCCGCCCGTTCCCTATCCTCCCTCTCTACTCTCCCTCTCGCTCGAGTCTCCCACCTCCTCCACAACTCCAATCCTCCGACGCACCACCTCCTCCCGCAATACTACCCGTTCGCCGCCGCCGGATTCTCTCTCTCCCGATCAATCGTCACTTCGCCTGACCATATTCAACATACTTCTATTGAAGATTCCATTCTTCCAGTTCGTGTCCTTGCTTCGTTGCTTGATGGATGCCATGATCTCACAGGCTTGCCTTGGTTAGTCAATCTTTCAGGCTTTGGTATTTCTTTTGCAAAATTCGCAGTTTGATTCCTGAGAAAAAAAAAAATCAATGAAATTAGGAATTTCATTGATTACTGATAGAAGAAAACGTGGTTAAGTTCTTTTGTGATTAATTTTATCATTTTCAGTTGTTTACTGCTTATTAGTTTTCTTGATTATTTTCAAATAACTTTCTAGGTGGCTAACTATTGTGACTTCAACTTTGGCTATGAGATTTGCATTGTTGCCTGTAGCTGTTATGCAGCTTCAGAAGTTAAAAATGATGGGAGAGTTGTCTCGTAAATGTGAGTTATTTGTTTCTTCTAATATTATTATTCCCTGCAAACTCATCCCTAAAAGGGCTATATTGCCCTTGATGGGATTTTTGAGTCTAATGGGTGCCAACAAGCCAAAGCCTGCCAGGAAATGTAATTGGATTCCCAATCTTGCAATCTTATTTCTGGTAGCATCAATTTTTCATCTGAAGCAATTTTTGTATGCACGTCAGATAGTCATGTTATTACTCTCTACTGATAGTTGATTTAAGATCAATGCACAGCTGAAATCCTTTTCTTTTCCTTGTTAGTCTGATTTTAAATCACTGTTAATTTCTGCCCAACTCTTATGCCTTTCTTGTAGTGCCACCTCCATTCCCACCACTTTTCTCGGGAAAAAGTTATATCAACCATATTTTGCATTATCGGAAGGAAAGAAAAGCAATTGGATGCCCATCACTGTTGTGGATTTTGGCACCATACTTTATCCAGGTCATACTTGTTTCCACTGCAGGAATCCTTTTTTTATTTCAAGTTTTTATTTTTTCCTATGTAACTTTCATTTGCATAATGTATGTAATGTTTTAAAATTTTTATGGTAAACACATCAGTTTGGAAGTAGAATTGGCCAGCACATTAGTGATTGAAAGCAATATCTATGCCAAAGTAGCAGTTGAAAGAAAAGATGAATTTGTAGTGTATAACAATGTTTGCCTCAACAAAAATAACAAAGCTAACAGGAAGATATCAAGGGCAAAAATCATTTCTTCCTCTAGTGAAGAACTTCAGAGTATATTTTTGCAGACATACTGCAGTGTGAAAGTTCTTAATCAAATTATGAGTAGTTTAATCCAGCGTGCAGCTATGTAAGTCATATCTGACTGCTGGAATCTTAATTGCTTTGGAAGTAAAACTCTACAAGTATATTCTTCTGTGGGAAAATGAAAATGTTGATGAATGATTTTCAAGGTAGGGAGTTTTGGAGACAAAAGCTTTGCAAGAAAATAGAATTACAAAATTGTTCTAAACACACATTCACTTGTTTTTTATTATCTAGAGGGTATGTATGGAAAGACACCTTGACTAATCAGTATAATTTTTCAGTATTTTGTGAGACGGGTGGTATAGATACCTTGACTAATCTTTTCTGTTCAGAAAATTATCCATCTCATGGGAAAACATAATTTTTCATATCAGATGGACATGAAGTTCTAATTATCTAATTTGTTGTGTCTTTTTTTATTTGTCTGTAGGTGCCATGCTTTTTCTTGTGTTTGACCAGCATCCGGAGAATGTCATTGGATAACCACCCTGGGTTTGATTGTGTAAAGCACTAATTTTTGTGCATATTTATACCAATACTAGTTATCTTTTGCACTTTGTTCTTAATGGTTGACTCATCATTCCTTCTACTGTTTTGGCCCCAGGAAATCACTAGCATTATAGTATTTTGCTTATATAGTGGTCTACTGGAGAGAGATTAAGCAGATCTCCAAATTAGTAGTTGTGCTGTTTCCAACTAATGAATTACTTTGATTGGAACTTAGTATTGTAGCTGTTGAAGCCTGAGTTTATGCGTTTAAGTTGTTCATGGATGGGGAAAAGAGAGATTTGAACAATAGACCGGCTCAAAGTACTTCTATTTATCCATATTAGATATCTGGACTCCTTTTTGTTTTGGCTAAAAGACAACTATACTGGAGAAGGACCCACTGTTTTTTGTTTTGTTTTCTTTTTTTCCTTTTTAATGTTTTTTTGAATCTGACATTCAGTTTTGTTCTGGTACATGTAAAATAAGTGATTAAGTATATAATTTTGGCCTTGTTTTGTACTTTTAAATTGCTATGCATATCTGCATTTTAAATGTAAGTGTTAAAGTTGCTTGAACATGGGGCTTAACATTATCAATTACAGGGTGGCACTTTATGGTTCCAGGATTTAACTGAAACACCTTATAGTCTGTTAAACCCTATCTTTCCAATCCTGATTGCAGTCTTGCACAATGTTAATATCCAGGTATTGTATACTTTATTCTGTCTCTATTAGTGGCTAAGGCAGGAAGTGTGGAAATTAAATCTTATTTATAGAAAGAAAATCCACTATTTTATTGTATGCTTTAAAATTCAACACTTATCCAATAATGAAATATTTACTGTGCATTTCCTTTTATGTCAAATACAAAAACAGGGTATAAATATAGTAAGTGTACTTATATTTGATTTACTATTTAAGACTGGGAGATCGAAATTTGAAAGAGGATGCGTTGGTGATTAAACTAATTGGTAATTGCTTTATGTTACACCAGCAGTATTGGCAGTACTTGAAGGACTAGACTTGTTTGCAATTTTTTCTCTTAATTAAATTAATTTTTCAACAAGGCACCGTAGCAATACTGTTTTAAAGTTCTGTCATTGCTATAAGGTGATGCCATCCTTGCTTATTGTTACATGAACCATTTACATTGGTAATTTAGAATTTCAAACTATTGAACACTTATGTAGAATAGTTTCTGCTCAGTGGTTTAATGTTGTTTATAATTATATCTTTAAGCATTGACTAGAGGAATTTGCTCCTGGATTATTGTTTTTTGCTTCAAAACTATACTTGTTCTGTCATTTTACACAACTCCACACACACTCTGTCATCTTATATTGGACATTCCTTACTTTTGACTGTTGAAACTTGATGGCTATGATATTTTAAATTTCTGGACAAAAAGATTATGCACGTGCTAGATGATTATGCTTTTTTAAGGATGTTAGTGCATTCATGTATGCCCATCTACATCTTAAAAACTTGATCTCTCATCATGTTAGTTGTAGCATAACTGGATTAGTTATAATGAGGACATACCCCTGGACTGTTTGCTAATTTAATTTGATTTTTTATCAGATTTCCTTTGCAACTTCACTTCAGAAAGCGGACAGCATATTTGAACTATTGCTGAAAGTGAGTAAACAGAATAATGCAGAACTCCATAGCTCTGCTATTTTTTTGTTGTTTTAGTTGGCTTATTTTCATGACAATTTGTTCAATTAAAAGCTGGACAAGTCTCTTTCTCATTAGATTTATTTCAAACAAATAATTGGCTGTCTTTCTTCTTGCAGGGTTACAAACGCGTTTTGGACTTTATGTCTTTTTTCCTTTTGTTCATTGGCTTCTTTATGCCCCAGGTAATATACCCTTTGTCTACACATTTGAAGCTGGCTTATCATACCGGATGATTGATGATGTCATTTTCTTTGACCTTACTTTCTTGGAAGTTTTCAATCAATTCATGAGATACTTGACAAGATGTATTCTGATGCTCTAACCTTAAAGGAGGAATTTTCCTTTGTTGCCATGATGTCAGCATCTTTTTAGATACTAAGGACATATTACATTCTATAATAATTAAACTATTTTTGAAACATATTTGGATATTTAGAACCAATCTTTTAACACTTACTGCCTCCAGATGGTTTAATCAAGGGAGGAGTTGGAGGTCAAGTGTATTTTTAAAAGATGAGAGTTAAGAGAATTCTTATAGTTTTCCCTTATACGAATGCAAAGCTATCCATTATACTGAATGTCAATCCTAATCATATCAATTTAACTGTAGTATATATTATATAGATCATAAAAAACTTCTCAGAAATCAAAGTTTGTACTCACTGACAGTCCTTAGTATAACATTGCAGATGCCCACAATACAACCAGTTATGGTGGTGTCAGCTACCTTAATACCCATGGATCTTGTTGCTATGGACTTGTAGAGACTACTGTCTCTACCAAATTAATCTTCCTAATCAACCATCCTTAGCTACCAAGGAAATAACTTGTCTGCTAAAATGACAAGTGAATATATGCAAATTTCGCATTGATCTTGCTTTTTTCCTATTCTTCTATGAGATTAGGGACTTTATGCTATGGCTTTGGATTATGTTTTCAAAATTGTGAATCATTTCTATGCACCTTTTGGAAGAAATTGGGTAACAAATTCAAAGGCCAGTGAGAAGAGTATAATAGTTGCAGGCTGAGTCTGGCAGTGTGGAGCAGAGACATCTAATTTGTTGTTCCCCACTTAGATTTTGCAGAATTACTCTCACTGAGTGGTTTCTATGACAAGTCATGAGGTAGTTCCCTCCTAGAAGCAACAGGTTTATGTGTTGGCCAAAAGTAAATTTTTATTTCGTTACAATATTTCTAGCTCAAAACAATTGCATTCTTCATATACCCTAGGAACAAGAAGTATATATCAAACGTGAATTCTTCTGTTGTGAGCCTGCTTTGATTCAATTAGAAGTCATTATGATTTTTGGACTTTTAGAAAATGTTTACAGCTTTTGCACTATATTTATGTATGCTGTGCTTTTGCCAATCATCTCAATGGTTGAAACTCTGCTTGATTGTGAAGGTTCTTTTGAATTCCAAGCACTTGTGGTACACAATATAAATAATTTTCCTCCATTTTTGCAGGGAAGTTTGGTCTACTGGGTTACAAATAGTTCATTTAGTCTCATTCAGGTCAGTTGTACTTTGTTCTTTTAGAAGAATTTGTTTCTATACTGATTATTTAATTGGTTATGATATTATTAGTTATTACTTATATCTTCAATAAAAATTTATTTGATGTTTGATTTTTTTTTTTTTTGTTTTTTTACCTCTATTATGAAATGATGAAGCTGCATAATAAAGGGTATTTGTTTTAAGACTGTTTTTGGTCTATGTATCCTATACTTGCCACCTAGGGTATTAGTGTTGATATGGCGTGAGGTTGGTGCTAGTATGGAATACATTCCTGAGATGAAAAAAGGTTGGACATGTCATCTTTGCAACATGCAATACACACTCAACTCAACTAAGCATTAGGCCAAAATCAGTTGTGGAAAGCTGCATATCTATTTCCTTCCATTCCGTTAGTTCTAAGGCCAAATTCTTTTCCCGACTCATTACATGGGTACTGCAATGCACCCCATTAACAATATCGGACAAATTTCCACCCATGGGTGGCAGGTGTGGCTCGTTGTTGTTGTTTGTACCCAGGTGGTGGAGAGATTCAAACCCTGCATTTTGTCAGCATTCTCCTCACTCCTTACCACTTGAGCCAACCCCAGCAGGTTTCATTCTTGTGAAGATCCAAAAGAGTAAACTCCTCTAGTGCTGCTATAACCCATGTGATTCTTGCCCTGTTAGAGAGAGAGGGCAGATTGTGAAAGCTATGAGATAGAGGGAAGGCAATTTAACAAAGTTTTCTCTTCTCCTTTTTAGGAGCTATACAATTCCCAACTCTAAATTCTCAAGTAACCTGGGTTAGAAACCTTGTCTTCATTTACCATCACCCATGCTGTTTAAAAAAAAAAATTTACCATCCCCCATAGATTATTATTACAATCAAGTATTTGAGGGAAGTTATCATGAGAGAACAAAAATGCAAACAAAGGAAGAAATATCAATTGCCAGTAATATGAAATTAGCTGAACTGTCCTTTTATGGGCAGTACAGGCAGTCGATCACCTGCATTAACATGAATTTTCTGTAACAATGGTATTGATCTCTTTAATGGGAAAAAATGGACCACAAGGTCCACAACCCATTAGTTTTCGTTGGGCAAGAGAAGCAGAATAATTGTTGGAAATAACAAGAAAGTGATGGGAAGAATGTAGATGGTATTCTTGTTTGTTTTCATTAGATTGGGAGGGGGGTGGGGAAGAGTGGGAGTGCAAGAAGGGCAAGAGATAAAGAAGCAGAAAACGTGAATTAGAGGGTTTTAGAAAGTGAAGAAAAATGAATTGTTTTGAAGGAGATGGTAGTGGTAGGGGAAAATGGGTAAGAAGAAGGAAGAAAAAGAAAATGAGGAGGAAAGAGGAAAAAAAAGAAGATCTAATGGTTTGGCTTTATTATGATTAAGTCCATTAATTTAGTTCAGTATGGAACCTAGTGTCTTTTGTTTTACTGTATGTATTTCTAAAACAAGCATATAGAATTCTAAGTGACTAAAAGATTTCTTACGTATTATATTTTATAATGATACACTATTAAACACAAAAGACACATATTTGTCTTTTCGTTTGATGCCTAATGTTTTAAATGCCATTTTTTCAAACAATGAGGTTGTGGTTACTTTCTGTTTGGCTTTGTTAAACAAAATATGCAACTGGAATTTAAAAAATGGAAACCATATTATGGGAATTTAAGTGAAAGGAACATTTTACTGCTACGATTATAGCTTGGTTGCTTGGATTATGCTTAGTTGCTTAGTTACTTTACTGCTACTGTAGATTCCCCTTCCCTCCCTCCTTGGTTCCTCTTTGTAGTTGGGTTTCCATCCTTCCGTTTCTTGTTATGGACATTCAGATCTATATTCAGAGGATTTAGACTTTTGAAAATTGTGTTATTTGGCATGTAAACAAGTGTTAGGGAAGTTCATAATGCTTTAAGCACTACAAACTGTGTGCAGCAATTATTCTTCAAGCATCCTGCTGTTATTGCAAGGTTTGGTTTACCAAATAGGAGAGCTCATAGAAGAGGTGAAAATTCTAAGGAAATGCATATATCTGAAAATTTGCCTGCTGAACTATCATCAAAGGAACGCATAATTACCATGGAAGACCTATCTCCTGAAGAACTACTGAAAGTGAGTGGCTAAGAGTGGGAACCCAACATCTTATTTGAGTGGCAGATGGGAAGTAAAAGTTTTATCATGTCTCATAATCTGGTTTTGTCGGCAGCTCTCAGTCATACGCCTAGGAAGGGAGCAGCATGAAAAAGCAATTTCCTCTCTAAAGTAACTTTTTCTGGTTAGCTGTTTTTTCTCCTTTTTTTTCGTCTTTTCATTTATTAGCTGCTTTTATGAGTGAACTATTTTTCTACACTACAAAATTGATATCTGTTTACAGATTGGCTCTAGAAAAAGATCCTGATTATGTGAGAGCAATGGTTGTTTTGGGGAATGCTCTTATGCAGAAAGAAATGCTGGTGGAGGCAAGGGAGTATTTAGAGTGTGCCATTTCCAAGGTTTGATTTTCATTTCTTAAGATCTTTTTACCAAATGATTGGATACCCAACAATCAACTTGATTGAATTTTTTCTTTTATTTTATGTAAATTTACTTTGCACTTGAGGAAGTTATCCTTTCGAACTCTTTCAAAGTTGTACCTGAACTCTTTAGTTTATGTGCATTTTCATCCTTTTGCTAAGAGAATTTTGTTTTCTATTATTATTTTGGAGTGCTGTCCTTTTCAATCCTAGGAGCATGAGAGCACAACTTGAGCTCTCATGAGGAGCCTTGATTCCAGTCCTTAGGGAATGTCAATTCAAACAGGCTCCTTTTGAGATTACCAAGGAGCACTAGATCTGGTGCTCGATGCTTCTTGGAGGAGAGCTAGGCAGTGCTCATGAAAAGAGTATCCAATGCTTCTTCTCGAGGGAGCGTCTCCTGTTCTCCCAAATGCTTCAAAAAAAAAAAAATATATATATATATATAGTAAAGAAGTTATTTTTTGTTATTTTTAGAACTTTTAATTTAATAATCCATGTTACATGCGATGTCAACATTTCAAGCACATTACCTTACTATTTTTTTATACGGTTTTAGTGGTAAAAGTAACTGTATAAACTTAAGAGTTTTAATTTTTAAGGGTGACAATTGAATAAAAAAAAAATAGTTTAACATTTTCAGAGAGTTTATAGACCAATCCTGCTACTAACTACTAGAAGAAGCACCAGCTTGTGCTTCAATGGATCACCATGTTGGTGCACAAACCTAATGGAGGGGGAGAGAATGGAAGTGGGAAAGAGGGAGAAGGAGAGTAAAGAAATTTTTGCAAATTTAGTTGCATTTCTGTCAAGAGATGTCAATAATTCCCTGAGACTACTGGTGCAAACTTAAGGGGAATATCAATCACTTTTTAAACTATAGAGAATTGTGTGCAAAGTTTGTGAACCACAAAGTGGGAAAAGGTAATTTACTTCTATTTTAAGAACTCAAGGTGGCTGCTTTTTCGAGGACTGTTGTTGTATGAAGGGCAATTGTATAAGTTGCCATGTAATGATATAAAATAATATAGGGAGCTACTATAGTAAATCTTTCCTGGTTTATGTTCTTTTTCTTTTCATTAATTGCAGAGTTTGAGTGGCAGCTTAATGCATGTTTGACTGAACTATGTAAAGTCCGTGGTTTAGCTTAAGATGATCACTAAATTGCTGTTATACTCATCTTTGACTTCTTCACTATTAACTCCTCTTATGTAAACTTAATGGCTAATCTAATTGTTGCAGCTCTCTCTTCCTGGGCATCCAATCAAGGTAGAGGAAGTTGATCTTTTGATTCAATCATCTCAATGGACAGCACTTATATGTATAAAACAGGTCAGCATTTATTTTTGAAACTCAACCTTAAATCAGCCACAAAAATGTTGAATACTTTGAAAAGTTCTCTTTATATGTAAATTTTTTGGGGAAATGCCGATGAAAGACCATTGTGCCTTGCATGCATCTTTAATACCTGTTATTTGACTGTTTCTAGAACCTAGCCTAGTGTTGCTCATGACTCTATCAGTTTGGGTAGTAGGGATGAAACCATTTGTTTCACTGGCTTTCTGTTTTCTCTTTATCTCTTATCACAGGGCAATGAGGCTGAGGGACTGGTTCACCTGGAAAGGATGGCAACTCTACAGGAGCCAGAAGATCCTCAAAGTAAAGTGCATTACTATAAGGGGTTGCTATTGCTCTGGAGGTGAATAGAAAATTTGATGTTTCTTTCATATTTCTTTGCGTTGCTTATTTTTCCAAGGTTAATTTAAAAGAGTTGGAAAACCAATAGTTTCATTCTGTTAGTTATTCCTTGCATTTCTGTTCATAATGATTGTGGTTTGAATTCAGTTAAAATAAATGTTGGATTTGGTCTTTCAGTATTTTACATCGAGCAAATCGTAGGGAAGAAGCAAAAAAGTATGCGAGTAGAATGGTTGCTTATGATCCTTCACTCAGACCCCTGTTGGAACAGTTGGAAAAGCGAGGTGATGTTGCCATTGATCTCAAGGTAGATTATTAACTGTTTACCTTCTGCATAGATGTTTCAGATGTAAAATTTATTTCTACGAGCATCTTCAGTTAATTGCTATTATTTTCCCTTACTTTTAGAGCTTTTTCTGAGCAACTGACCGTTGAGGCTCTTTAGGTTGAAAAGAAAATTATTGAATTTTAGTTCTCCAGTTCTTCTTCTCCTCCCTCCATCTTTTCCAATTCTTAAGCAGTAGGATTTCTTAGGCATCCTTGCATTCTATTCTGTTTTAGCGGGGCATGGTTATTGCCATGTAACTTTTTGTTAAGAACACAAAACGCTAGCATCAATACTCATGTGTTTTGGTAGTAGAGTTACTTACTCTTAACTATAAATTTAGGCTTCAATTTTTAATTTTGTACAAAAAAAAAAAAAAAAAAAAAACAAAACAAAACACTTGCTCTGTTTGGTTGATGTTTTCCAATGAGATTTTCACCAATTCGAAAGGATGTAGATGAATCTCGTGCGTATGCAAAAACCAATCTCTATTTCAAATAAAAAACCAACATCCATAAAAATTTGTTTAAAGTTATTTATGGATGTGAAATAGTTTTAGAATCTACCGAAGTCAGGTGTAGTTGAAGAGGAATTTTTTTTTTTTTCATTTTTTGAACATGAAGAAATTGAGGGAAAGACAAATGATTCTACAAGCATTAAAACCATCGACACTTATCTAATTATCTCGCTTTGATGGTGCCTCTCTACCAACGCCGCCAATGCTGCGCCAGCTTCCAATTACAAGATTCGAATAGGTTGGTTATTACAAATTTTAATGTTAACAAATATCCTAAAACGTGTGCGGTGTGGAAATTTCTCATTTAGAAAAAAAAAAAAGGGGTCCAGCACTTGGTGGCCCAATAACTACCCCTGACGTGCTAAGAGTAGAGAACTTGGGATCAAATCTCAAGTTATCCTTTCACCTTTTTCTCCGAAAAAATTTTACTGTTTTAAAAAAAAAAAGCACTATGTCCTTAGGTTTAGATTGGGAGTGTTGGTTATTGTTGATTTTTTAGTCTTTTAATATTTTAAAATATAAAAATATATTTAATATATTTAATATTAATTTTTATTAATATTTTATATATTTTTAAAATAATAAAAATATAAAAATTAAAAACTAAAAGCTAAAATACCAAAAAAAAAAAACCGCTATTAAACAAAGTTCTAGTATTTTTGCAGTGCTAGGTGCGGAGTGCTTGTGCACTCAGTATCTCCCCAATTTTAATGACAAAAGTAGACCCTCCCACAGAAGAAAGTCTTTGGTACACTGGGGGAATACCACTCCGACGGTATCTCCGTTACCTAATATTTTGATAGCTTAGTGGGTCACCTACATTAAAATCTCAAGTTTTGTAAACTTCTATTATTTTCAACGGGCTTAAGATAACTCTTAACGGTAAGGACATATGCTGTTAACTTTTTCTGCAGTTAACTTCAATTTGAAAAATAATTTTTGAACATTTTTTTTATTCTTTTAATATAATTTTATATGTCATTTAAATAATTAATTTTTTTTACTTAATAATATATAAAAAATATATTAAAAAAATTATACAAAAAAATTCTCCTATGTTACCACCCTTTCAATTTAAGTTTTTATTTCTTTTATCAATTCAAACCTTAATCACAAGCGAACTGGGGGAGGAAATTTACAGTATGACGGGAATATTGCGTGAGTGGTTGTGTCCTTCCAATAGGAGCCAATTCAGCACCGATTGAAGAAAAATTTTACTGTTATCAGGGGAAGGAGCTGCTGGTGCTAATGGTGCAAAACAGAATCTTCATGTGTGTTAGGATATGAATTTCGAATTTTAAATGAAATTATTTTGTTCAGTTTTTACGTTGTAAAAATTAATTTTTCTTCAAGCAATCTAAATATCATATTTTTTTATATTGGTCTATTACAATTAAAAAAATTTAATTTTTTAACTATTAAGGAATAGTGTCAGTTACCTTATTTATCAAAAATTACTCTTTCATCTCAAAATAATAATTATTTTTTTTACTTCAATTTTGTTTCAAGATAATTGTCATTTTTTATTTTTAAAATGAAAAAATATTTTTTAATTTAATCTTATAATTATTTATTTATTTTAATTAACTATCATATCACAAAAAATTTGACTTTATCTTTTATTTTTTTAAAGTGTAATATCGATAAATATTTAA